GTATTCTGAGACGCCATGCGATTTAAAAAGAATGAGCAGCAGCATCGTTTTGCCTTGACGGATGAACCTTCACCCACATGAACCCGTCGTTTTAACACCACCAGGTGGAAGACACAGTTCACCATCACAGTTTGTCTTTGGAAGCTGGAAGAGGTAAGTCAAAGTGCCAACCAAAACTCTCTACCTCAGAGTACCAGACACTGGTGATTTTAATCACAGGGCTTTAAAAAGAAATATTTTCCTATGCTATTGCTAATGTGTAAATTTCATCCTGTTCAGTCCTCCCATTTGTGCGTTTGATTTTAAAGACCGTGAGCACACCACCTGAAAAACTGCAAACGTAGAACTGCGCTCTTTATTTGCTGAAAGAATTGACAGTAGATGAAGGGCGGGTTTGCAGTCTTTGCAGTTTTACGTTCTCTATCCTTGACGTACTGTTTTTCCTTCACCACTCAAGATTTTTTTTCTGATTTTTTTTCCCCAGACATCATAGTGCAAGCACAGAAAAGTGCAATTGACTAAGACAATGGTTGTCAATTACTCTTAATTTGGCTAGACAGGTATTTTAAAAGCATCTTTCACAGATTTCAGTTTTCTAGTTGATCTTCATACATGTGTATTCTTGAACCCATTTGCTCTACTAGCTTTGGTGACCCAATAAGGCTACAAATCCAGAATCATCCCACCTGTGATTTCAATCCACAGGCCCTGCAATCCTACCCATCCCTCCACACTGCCACAATGCCCGACAGCCATGCTTTAAAAACTTGAAATACACCCCCCACACACACAAACAATGACCAAGGAAAGAGCTTGGTTTGAAATTTCTAAGATGCCTCCTATGTCATTCTACTTTTTGACATACCAAACTATCACCTTACTGCTGGGCACACTGAGCCATATCAGTAACATGTTAAAATTTTAACATCGACACAAAAAAGCAGTTATCAGCAGCACCCAGCCTCCTAGTGCTGAGGGTGCCCATGACGCACCCTACACCTTAAATGAGGTGGGTCCATGATTGGAACACATGAAAGCTCACAATGACGATGACAAGCAGAGTAGGAGGCAGTATGAAAGACTTTTATACACTACTCCTCAACTGATGGAAACATTTACACAAATCGGACTCCCCTCCAGTAACGGACCACTGGTGAGTTTCTTCTGGCAGGTCGGCCGATTACACAATCCCTCCCACAGTCCAGCCTGCTGCAATGATTTCAAAGCAACCCACCACTGCCAACTCAAGCTTGAACGACTGCTTACATACTGTTGGGAATGGGCACAAAGAAAAGGGCTCCATTATACTTTTAAACTACATCACATCATCTTTCATCATGCAAATTGCTGTGCAGCTTACGGGAATTAAGACAAAACTAATTGTTTCCACATCACCGTTTGCCTCTTTACTTTTTTTTTTCGATCTCGCAAAGGGCGGACGTGTGTGAGAGAATGCCAGCACCGGCGTCAGGAGATAAACGAAACACAGGCAGGTGCTTCTGGGCCCTGGATTAGCTGCAAATAAGGAAATACAATTAACCAAACTGCTCAAACGTTAAAGGCGTAACACTCATTTAGTCACTTTAGAGGTGTGCCAATATTTCAGGGGAACAGTGTTACAAATGAAAAGTGAATCTTGAAGGTGCAGTTTTAATACTCATTGAATCCTCAATGACACTCGCAAAATCTGTTACTAGGTTTGTACACCAGACAAGTCAGAAATGAGGAGGCTGTTTGGTCCACTGGCCTCTTAAATAGTGGTTTATCAACCCAAGGACCTTATAGCCAAAACTATGGCTTTAGCCACATGGCTGAGTAGTTTCTCCAAGACTTCCACAACTCTTTGGGCACTTCCTGTTCTCAGTTCATTTCGGGGATGTCCACTAAATTGACTTGCCTTTGAAGACCTGAGCAGGTATTAGTTCACAAAGGTTCATGTAGCTCTTTATGGGACACAACCAGGAGAATGGTTTTATGGTTTGTGCATCTATCTGTTCAAAATCCCATCCAAACGTGATGTGAGGAGTTTCTCTCGACATGCAGATGGGACACAGCCTGGTATCGCCAAATAAAAGCCGAGATGATCTGACCTTTTCAGACAAAAGCACTTACGAAGCTGCTGAAGTGTCAGTCTTGTATATGAAAGAATCAAATGACTACCAGCTTTCTTATCATTCTGCAAACAACCCTTAGTGTCCTCTCCATAACAAAGGGAGTACTGTTCCTTACATTCGGTTTCTGAAGGACATTTTTAATGAAGTCTGGGCATGATCATGCCGAGAAAAGAAAAGGCAATAAAACCTGAAGTCCTGTTAAAAGTGCTCACACCCTAGCTGAAGTATGGAAAAGTCTAAAAATCCAAAGAATCGTGCAGGTGAAATTAACTTTGTGACTTGTGTGTGCTGACCGACATGGCCGAAATACATCATACCTGAAAGAACAAATGACATCATTTCTCAAGGTTCTTCACTAATTCCCAGCTTCACGTTTTTGCTGTTAGGATACAGGGCATTGCCGTCACTCTGACAATATACAATATTATATGTTTTGAACTGAATTGCTTCCATTTACTTCAAACGCCTAGGTATTTTCCTGGAGCAAGCTGGTGCAAACACCTTGTTCAAGGGAACACCTGCAGATCCACTGGAGTCTGAACCAGCTATCGTCACATTACAAGGCCAGAACACCACACAATCCCCCATTAAATGCATGTAAAGTCACAAAGTATTAGTGACTTTCACACAAACAGCACGTTGTGAAAGTGAAAGGCCTTGCAATATCACTCGAGTGGAGTATCGACCTTCCCCTTACTTTTTGATTTGTCACATTTTAGATATTAGGTTAACAGCACTTTGGCTTTGTAGCTCAGTTTGGAGACCATTTTTGTCCCCATCTATACACCACAGCTGTGCCATTCTCTGCTTTTGTCCATGACAAACTGTCTGGACATACGGAAACATTTATGTAATTGTGAACCTCAAAATGTGAAACGATGCCTTATAAATAAAATTGATTAACTGATGCTTCTCATTACAGTTGCTAGTAGTGGCTTCATAACTAACCAAAAATATTTACTACATAGGCTACACGTTACACCTCAATGCATATCTCAGATTACCTAATTTCTGTTCACAATTGTGAACTACCAGGCACCACGGCAATGTAATTTGGTGTTCACAGTCAGGCCTTTGGTCACTAATGTTATTAATAACTATGTGTACATCTGAACAGCCTCCTTCAAGTACACAAATGTACCCACAAATCGGAAAGCACACACTGTGACATGCACCAAATCATCAGCCACAGCACCCTGCATTCTGGTTCAAAAAGAGAAGGCACATCCTGTGCAGGACAGACGGTTTGCAATCTGGTGGAAAGCGATTCCTACACTAAACCGACTCCTGTATTGATTTGCGGTCTGCTGGAGGAGAAGGCCAGCACGCTATACTCACTTAGTATGTGGATCGTAGTTCACCTCATCACGCTATACTGTGTACGTTAAAACTCTCAAGAGGGCGGAGCAGTAAAGCTCTCCACAGTTTTCACTTTCCTTTAGCAAAACCTGTGCCACGATCACAGAAGCTCATTTTCAGGTTTTTGTCGTGATTCCACTTTTTGGTCACGAATTTTCCATTTGCATTCTCAAAACACATCAGCGCTCTGAGCTCATAGGCAATTACAGGGAAAGTCTCCCATTTAATGTTTCTTTGGTGGGGAAGAATAAGTTAACGACCATCATGTGACCACATGCAATCACATGTAACGCTTCACACCGAGATGTACGTCAACTAAAACCCATTCAGAACGTAAGCGGGACTGGAATGGAAATGTTTAGTATATTGGGATGAAAAATCGTAAAATTGCGTAAACCCCTCACTTAATATACGAAAAGGCATGTTATGCCCACGTTAATAATCAAGACAACCAGATCATCCGTGCACCTGAGCGAAAGCTGTCAGCGAAAAGCAGACACTGCAAAATCACCGTGACCACAAAAAAAAGTCCCGTCCACGAAAAGTAAGCGAAAATTACGACACACGACACAGGTGAAGCGTTCATTTATAAACGGATGCAAGACTGCCATCTCTTAAACCATACGGAAATAAAGCGTTTACTAAAGAAGATATCCTGTTCGTTGTTCTGAAAGGTATGCTACTGCTTTAAAACTTAATCCCCGTTTTGAATAATCTTGGTCTGGATTTATCCCTTGCCAAGCGTAATTACACAACACGGATAAAGAAAGCAACGGATGAGTTCCCGCAATAGTTCAAAATAAACACTGATGAAGTACACACAGTGTTATCTTCAACAGCAAACACTTTCACTTTGCCAGTAGCATGCAGAGAATTGCTCCATTGCATACGGTCGAATTTACACTAAGAGTTACGTGTAACATTCATGTTTCACACACAGCTGTCCATTACCATATCAAGGGCCGCCTACAGATACAAGGATTTTAGAAAGGGTTTAAAATGTTACACACATTAAGCACAAAATCTATACAGATTAAGCAGAATGCCTCTGCAAAACCACAAGATTGACTGAATCTTGTACATTGAAAACAAAGGTTTAAATGGAAATCTATGAATGTGTCAAATCCCACCTACTGCTGCCAGATGTTGTAACTCAATATTGTCAACGCCTTTTTTTCTGAATACGTGCAGTCTCTCCAAAACAAGACCTTTTAATCGAAGTGCATTTTAAAACTGTCAACTGAAATGTATTAGAGCAACCCCAGGCGAAACGGTCACTCGTTTCAACTCCTGAAATCGTGAATTATCTCCCAATAGACTCGGCTGATGCACCAGGACAGTCATTTTCAATTACAACAGCCTAAATCGTGCGCTCAGGAACATCCCTAAAAACCTCACACCTAGTTTGCCAATAAGCACACGATTAAACTCGTGAAGCCATGAACATCTTGCGTCAACGTCTGTAACTAAAAAAAACAGAATGCATTGCATTTCATGGTACAATCTGAATTTTTACACGGCACTTACTTTCCGATCACCTCGCAGAGCTCGTATACATCTTCAAACAGCACGTCGTCGTCGGCCATGGCCCAACAAGAATGGGGAAATTATCCCCCAATATGCCCAGCCAAAACGGTATATTTAAAAATAAAACAAAGGATCACAATTCTGTACTGCTGTTCTTGGACTGGGGGAGGGAAAGACTGGGAAAATCGCGAAACGCCGTTCGGTGGCTTTCCAAATTCCAATAGGCGGAAAATTACTCCTTTCCCCCACCAAAAAAAAGCAAAGGCGCTCGGGCTCCGGCGATTTCTGCGTATTTTAGTCCGTTTGTCTGACTCGGTCTCCGGCCCCACCTTCTCCTCGTCTCCCCGGCTTCAATCCCCAATCCCCCAGTTCTGAGGCTGCAAACTGAGATTTTCAAGCGATTTAAAATAAACACTCCGCCTCTCCTACGCCTGCGTCTGCGTTGCTCCTCGGTGTAGCTGTAGCTAAAGCTCTCCCAGTCCACGCTGCGATGCCTCTATATATAGATTTATTTCTTTGAAATAATATTGCACGGGATTAATCCAACAAATTGCGATGCCCTCCTGGGCGTGCAGCTAGTTTGCACGCCGTGCTTGCTTGGGCTCCTCTTAAAAGACGCTCATTGTCTGTCTTTTCATGCACACGCTTTTTTCCCCGTGTGTGTTCAGGTGTACCAGCGCTGTAAAAAAAAAAATGGATCTCCCAGTCTCTTCTCCAGTTCGCCGCTGCTCTAGTTTTCCTCTCTTACTCCGCCACTCCGCCGCCGCCACCGCCGTTGCTGCTGCTTCTGCTGCTCCGGCTTCCAGAAACGGCAGGCTCCTCCCTCCCAACGTTACGAAACTGGCTCCTAGAGCGCCATTGTGGCTCCATCGGGAGCCTGGGAATCCTGCAATGCACAACGCAGCCCGGGGATCCAAGATGGCGTACCTTTCGCCTTTTTTATTAAACAAGACGCAGTTTCCTGACTCCTTCTTAATAAAACCTTGCTCCGTGTCCACCAATCCAAGGTAGCAACGAAAGCCTACGGCGCACGCGTTGGGCACCTTATACCCATCGGGTGACGTCACCTCTTTCCTTCACAAATGCTTTTCTTTTTCCACCCAGCCAAGCAAAAGCGGGGACTAGGAGAGGCGGCAGGAGAGGTGGCTGGTGACTCACCGCACCTGGATGGGGCAGGGGAAAGAGTTCATTGCTGAGGCGTAGCAAAGGCTTACTCAGCTTGTGCGAAACAGAAAAGCTAGTTAGCGAAGGCAGCTTGGAGTGTTAATACCTCTATTTCATAAATCGTTGTGAATAGAAATATCCACTTGGAATTTTGTTAAATGTTTGCCACCTTGTTAATCATTGTTTAAAAGCCATTTGTAAATGAAATATAGGAAGCAAACTTCGAACCTCTTCATATTCGCACGTACTGTACAGTGAAACTACCGAATGCATTTTCTTCCTATAGCGCTGTAACCATCGTGATGACCTGCTAGCTCGTCTTCTGGAGCTCAAGTCACGAACACGAGATGACAGCCCTGCCACATCACATCACATCTTAATGACCCCACCTACAACATCAACAATACACTGTATTCATGGGAAGCCCTGTATCTGAAGAAAGCAGACACTTGAGCCACTGGCAGCTTTTGAAGTCACAAAGGCTGACCTCGGATACAATTAAAAGCCACCCAATGCTCCTGGATTTACACTTAGCAACTGGGAGTTCAGGATGTTAGGCGAGTTCACCGCTCGCTATTCTGGCACGCATGTGTAAATGGATCCTATTTGTAAGTGTTTTCAAACCGCCTCAAAATCAAAACGTTTATGACCTGTGTGTGATTGCTATGGTAGCACTAAAATGTTTGCTGGAGGGTATGTCTGCTGTCGGTTCAGCCTTGAACAAGACAGACGTGCACGTGAAAGCAGCTGTGCTTTAGCAAATCACAAAGCAAGCAGTTCTTTTTTTCTGCTTTAAGTCATTTATAAATTTAAGGAACAGTACCACAGGATATATTAAACATATTAAAACAAGCACTATTAAGAGGTGTTTAAGGTTGTAAATGTCACTTCCCTAAAAAACATTATGTCACCTTTGAAATTCCAGTTGAAATTCTAAAAACGTTAAATTTTATTGGAACCGTTTTGACAATTTATAACAGAGCTGTTAATGGAAACACACTACGCTATATTAAAAGGACCAAAAATAATGGAATTGTTCCCACAGTAGTGTCATTGTAGCCATGTAACACCTTTTTATTTTCCTCATTTACATGCAAGTGTTTGTGTCTGTTCTATTTTGTGCTTCGTGTTAGAGGGGTGTCATTATGTGCATGTGGAGCCTGCTCTTTTGAATAAAACTTCACATAAACAGGAAGCCATTCTTAAAAAGCATCCACTTAAGCAGAAATGGCAACATTCTTCTATTGCGTCATTGTGCTTTCAAGGCTTCAAACAACATCAGAATAATTTTACAGTTCGCATCTGGATGCCTTTTCTGTTTGAATGTTTTTTATTTTGGTCAGCCCCTTCCTCTGAGAAAGATGGATTGATAGTATTGCAGTCTTCTCGCCTAATTGGGGCTAAAATATTAAAAATCCATTCTTGTCTTTTGCTAAAAGAAACAATAGGACTATTGTTTTTCTTTTCCTTTGGTTCCAGGGGGTGAGCCTAGCTTTTGTTTTTTATTCCTCTTTATTATGCATAAAACTTTATTTTTTTCAGCATGGAAGCTTCTCTGGAGAGATTCCTGGGAGATTTCCATCAATGCTTTTGGAAATTGTGAGAGTGAATAAAGCAAAGAGCTTTAACAAACAGCATGACAGAGCTGTCAAGCAATGTAACATGCAGAGAGCATTCCTTCCTCACGGATACAATGCAACCTCTTTCAAACAGAGCAGGTCATTTACTGCAGTTGTCACTAACGCATGTTATTTGTACTATTTCCATGGCCCATTCCTGTAAGACATTGGGTTGCCTGAATGGGCGGAATTTCAAATCTAAGAAAACATGGAAAAGGAATAAAACTATGGCATTTTAATCAAGAAGGAAATGTTCAAAGTTATTATTATTCTGAAAACTTTTGTTCTGTATACACCCAAGTACTCTTGTAAGCTTTTGTAGTGCCAAAGTATCTTTTAACCTCAATAAAACACTCTTTATCTGGAGATCACACAGAGGTAAAGCAAGGTGCGGAGACAATTCAGCTGTAAAAAGTCCGTTATAATACCAATATTAATATCAACATAAGACCAGAAAAAAGCAGACACTAACGAGGGAGTATATAGTAGCCTGGCCTTGAGAATCACATAAGTTTCAACATTGACACAGATAGGAGCATTTCACCATTTCCGAGAAAAAAACAACATTACTCGCCAATTTTATTTCTGTCCTTCTGTAAACACCTCGTCTGGAATTGCCAGACTCATGACTGCAGCTCTGCATGGACTTGGGAGGCTTAATGAAGACATCAGACAAGCATCCTACTAGACAGAGGGGGTGCCCAGCCAGCTGCAATTTTTTTTGTTTGGCAATTAGATTCTGCAGCTCTGAATAACAAAGTTCTTCTTTCAATAGAAAGAAGGGAAATAGCTGCTACTGATAAATAGTCATCAGTCATGCAAGCATATGGTCCGAATCAGTGGTCAATGACATAGAAGGGAATTTCTCAAGAGTGGTGGGTTCGGACCTAAAGGTTGAATGGACCTAGAAGGATTCTTGGGAAGCTGGATGAGAGGGTGTTGTACTGCTTGAGGTTTGTTAAATTCATGGGGGGGTTGAAGGCAGCCCTGGAGTACAGAGATCCACCATCCCAACACACGACACCTTCACAGCAACACCCACAGGAAACCACAGCCAAAGCCAGGATATGCCAGAGAGTGTAACTTGTATGTGAACAGTCTCCAGGCTGTCATATGAGCCATTCAAGAGGCTCTCAGTCACTTCTCTGTTCAAAAGGTTACTAGAATGTATTCATGTATGATGGATGGATGTTTGCCCATTATGCCTTCTGGGATGTAGGGGCAGCAACATCCTGTTTCATCCTGTCCATAACATTTTGGGTTTTGTTACAGGACAGGGCTGTTCACCTTGTGCCCAACCTCCAACGTGGAGGACCTGGCGCCCAACGAGGGACACAAACCCACTATCCTGAGATTATGAGTTTCAAGCTCTATCACCAGAGCTAGTTAGGGCTGTTAATGTATGATGTCCCTTTATTTTCTTCAAAAGCTTTAAGGCTGTCTGGCATTGTCTCAGATGTCTTTTACATATAATATCGCCTTGCACCTGTCACGCCCTCTGCAGCCAGAGGGCGCTCCTTCTCTGTCCTGTCCCTAGTTTCCTGTGTTTGCTCTCCTTCCGGTGTCTCTCTCTCTGGGGCTATATATTTCCGGGTCACTTATTCTGCTTCGCTCAGCATTGATGTTCAGATGTCCTGAGACCCGCCTAGCACCAGGTCGCCGCTCTGTCCGTGGCCTGACGGCTTAGGTTTCTATACAGCACTCCAGAGCTCTTTGCACTGCTGAGCCCGGGCTAACTCCCCGTTCCGCCACTTCGCATAGGGTCTTTTTCGCTCTCCTGCCTCTCCACGGTTTGTCCCTTCCGACATCTGTGACAGCACCCTTCCCCTGTCATGCATTTCAATGCAGCTCACATGTGAATAAGGTGCCATTCAAGGCTCTACGGGGTACATAGTCCATCCAAGATCACTTTGTACTGCAACGTCATCATTATTTCCATTCATGCGACCTGTAAATAATGGGTGCGGCTACACAATATTTCACAGTTTAATTTCTCAGTTTTGAAAAATGACAATTGCTGTGCCTTGTTCTTGAGCTGTTTTAACTGTGGAACATCTGTCCCCCTCTGCCTTCCTGATAATCAAGCGATCAGTTTTTCATCTGTCTCTTTAGGTATGCTACATTATTTTCACCGATGTAGTTGCAAACATTTTCAACAGAAGAGTGGACAGGCACAGCCTGAAAGCTTCAGTCATACGCTTAAGTCTTTGTCTTAGCAGGAAATCCTTTTTACAGATGTATTTGACTAATCGCTCATCCAATGACCTGGTCAGGAGTATTTTTAGTGGGAGTTCAGTTGGTAATTGTACCATAACTGTGTTTGTCTTTTTAAGATGTCTGTGCCTCTTTTAGACTTCCAGCAGGTTCAGCTCTAGGTAGATTGCAAGAATCAATATGATTGCTTTCTTTATGAATAAGTAATCATTACAGCATTAGTGATTTAGAGTCGTCAGTGTAAAAACTATCCCTGGGACAGATACAAGAGGGGATGCAAGTAAGCTGCCTGAGTCCTTTGAGGATTTGTCTCTGATAATTTGCAGGCTATGATACGATGATAGAGTAATGTTTATTAATGTAGGGCTTGGATAAGTTGCAGTTATTGGATTGCTCAGTCTGTCAGCACTTTTTTCCCCCTCTATAAAGAGTAACACAGAGGAAGCAGAGCTCAGCTAGACCTGAAACCCATTGTCAGCTCCCTTTTTGACTATCCACTTTAGGGGAGATTGTAGCCATCTGGCAGCAGCTACTGAGCTTTCCTAAGAGAGCATTACAGAACAGCCCCTTCTTTATTCTCAGTTTACTGGACCAGACAGCTATCGGTAACAGCTGTCGATTTCCTTCCCTGCATCTGTAATGCACATGTGAACCTCAACATTGTTTATATCCCTGGATTGATAGTATTGAATGACAATTGTCATTTCCCTTTAAAAAAGGCACTAGGCACTAAGATTAATAGCACAAGTACAGAATTTTGCTGACAGAAGCAGTG